TCTGCTACCAGTCAGTTGGAGAGGGAACTGCATTAAAACTAACGCATGGTCAGATTCAACGCCGGTGGTCCAAAAGGACCTGCAATTTTGCACTGAGCCACGCCAACGGTAGCTCACTGCTATGTCTTCGATCTGAGTTAGCGTGCCACGTTGCTATCCGTTGAGAGCTGTGACGGAAGTTAGTGCTGGATAGGAACAGATGATGATCTGCGCAGAACTGAGAAAGTTGATCGCCATTATCTGTTTGCTGGCAGGGCAGAGCACAATGATAGCCTAGGCAAGCTTCCGATGCCCTCAGTTTTCCAAGTTGTGCGTCAAAATCAGATGAGAGAAGAATTGTATCGGAGCGTCGGCTCAACCGAACGAGGTCGGTGAATTTATCATAAAACTCACCTTTTTGTGCGTCAGAACTCCAGTTGGTCGGTGCATAGACTGAAATCACGAATAAACACCTTTTGGTGTTGTTTCCCTTCCGGACGCTGTTAGGCCCTTGGAGCCGCGTCGCACATAAGCGGCTGTTGACGGCGATTCAATCGAGTAGTGCGGCTTCGGTTGTATAATGTGTGCCCGTCTCACCGGACCTTTTGGTTCATGGTTGTTTTGTATTTTCTCTATTTTGCATTGAGAGGGTCTGTATTGGGCAGCATTTACGAGCTGTTATAATTTCAACAGACGGTGCTGGTTGAGGATAGTTATTTATTGCCAATAACGTTCGAGATATGGTTAAATTGCCATTCATACAACAAAATATCTCATTTGGAGCAAGGTTGCGAAAATCCCAAACACAGGACAGTTGATGGAACAATTCACTGTTAGATGCGCATTCTTGTATTCATCATAAAAAACATCAGCACCTTGCTCCAACAGGTCTTGTTGATTTTTGGTCGTTGAAAGAAACCGCTGATCGTATCTTTTTGCGTACTACTTACAAGTGAGTAGTACCTCACAACACTAGGATCCTGGATTCGCGTCTCCGATACGCAGCAGACATCAATCTCAAAAGAGTCCATCGCACGCGCCAGATATGCTTGTTGACCTACCTGCATCAGAGTCTCACGATGAAGGTCCCCAGATTTAGTGGCTGACGAGGCTTCAGAATCTGTTATCTATTTTGTGGTAAACTACTTACCAGACTACTTGGCGAGGAACTTTGGCAAGTGACGAACAAGTTGTTTGAGGGAATGTTACAGGTTGGAAGAAGGAGTAAACGGAAAGGGTTGCGTACGAAAGACACTGAGTTAAACAAAGGTTGGGATGCCTTAGCAGTAGCTCACTTATCACTACCCACCCCGCTCGATGCAATGGGCAGCGCGGTCATGATTATCCTGCGCGACGACCGATGCAATATGGAATTATTTTTTGGTTGTGTACGCATTTGAGTTTGATGGACGGGTACTGCTAGGGTGTCCAGCCACTAAGGAAAACGATTAGGGTTATCATCCAAAGCCTTTAGTTCTGACAAGAACCTGACCGAAAAGGCAGCGGGTAAACCGAAGAACAGGCCCATTTACTTGGATCAATTATTCCTCTACCATTCTACCGACTGAGATGCTAACCCGAGTCGAATCCCCAACCTGGAGGACCGGGAGACTGGACCTCGTCTGACCTCTACCCATTGACCTTCCAGGCATGCTTAGATCTTCGGTTTGACAAAAGCCATCCAGTATAGCTCCTTGAGTCAGAGAGGTGCACAAGCAATCACACCACGTCAGGTGCAGTCTCGGCGGTTCTACACCATGCCTAACCTAGCGGAGCCTCATGTGGTTTGCCACCCGGGGTTTAGGTTATCGGTTATCACCACTGACTATGGAGTCGGCCCCGACCGCTGTTCATCATATACTGGTATAATAATAATCATATATATAAATATATATTTATATATATACCAACAAAATCAGCGAAAAAGACAGATAATGGTCTGAGTTGCGTTTTACGTAACGAGTATCAGTTAGTTGGTAACCCTGGACAATACCTGAAATGCAATGACCGGTACAGGCACACTGGAACGTATTATTTTGCCGTTCGATATAAAGAAGACGGTTAGATTAACATTTCAACAAGACAACGGTGCAACACACGCTCCGCATATCACAGAGGAAGGGCTTTTTTCGTAGAATACACCCTTTGCAATTTCTCATTCAACTATCTTAACCCAACCCAATTAGTAACATCTGAGAACTGTGTAGGCGAGTATACGGAAGTGCAAGATTCCTCGTTCCCTTGCTGGACTAGAGGATGCCTTGAACGAGAAGCGAGAGAATATTTGCTGTGCACGCCCGTGTCTGTAGTGACATTCTGGAGCAAAATAAACTAACTACAGTTAACTGAGGTTAAACAATGAGTATCAGTAGTGCATTGTCCCTAATTTTATGGCACCTTATTTGGATACATTCCTGAGTATAATTTTCATGGTGATTCGGTTGCAAAAATGTACACATTCTCTGATTTGCCGTGACTTCGGTGTGCACAGCATTAAAAATCGATAAGATGTTCTGATTAATAAAAAAAATGCAAACATTCGAACGACGATATTATTTCAGTGCTCATTGAATGAAAGATACGGAGGATGTTGAGAAATGCAGACTTCCTTTGTAGCGTGAAAATAAGGCAATATTTCACGCCAGTGGTTCGAGTTACCACGAGCAACGTCGATGCTTTCAGTTTCAGTTTGTACGATGAAGATGTATCAACTAGCAGAATGGTGAAAATTTCAAAGACGTATGAACGAAGCAGTTCTTGAATCGAATTGCATCTACGTTTCTGCTGGATTATATTTGGCAGTGAACAACAAGCAGAGCGATACGTACGACATGTTGATTTTAAATGAAGAAAAAATAGATTGACACAGAGGCTAAGAAATTTCTAATATTTGTCGAAGAAAAAACAATCAAGTACCTGGGGGAAAATCCTCACATATTCCACCCACAGTTATCTTTACAGGTACATAAACAACAAGCAAGAGATGAAAACTCACCGTCCAAAGAAATTCCGTTGATCACATCGACCGGATCGATAGCGTTGCCCAAGGATTTACTCATCTTTTTACCGTGTGCATCACGCACCATGGCATGCAAATAGACAGTGTGAAATGGTAGTTTTCCGGTCAACCGAAGTCCGATCATGACCATCCGGGCAACCCAAAAGAATATGATATCATGCCCTGTTTCCAAGAGGCTACCGGGGTAGTAGGCTTCTAAATCTGGCGTTTGATCGGGCCAACCGAAAACCGAAAATGGGAAGAGTTGGGACGAGAACCAGGTGTCCAATACATCTGTGTCTTGTGTAAGTCGAATCTGATCCGCGGAACATTGAAATATGTTACAGGCTTGCTCAAGTGCTTCGGCCTCTGTGCGACCGACTACCCATGAGTTGTGTTCAACAGGCTGCGACAAAAAGAGCATTCTACCAACAGTTAGGTTCCTTCTCAGCTGCATCCCAAACTAAGTAGATTGAATAAAGATTTATACATAATGAGTACCATACAAATGCCCGGAGCGAATTTCAGATGCACAAGACCGGTAGCGCGGTCCTTCCCGCTCGTGAAATATGTGTTCAGTTCAGTTTCAGTTCATACATCCTTTAACCATGCACTATCGTGCGCCGGTTTTGATTGCTGTCTTTT